TTCGCAAGACTGTGGCTTGCAGGTTCAGCCCTGAGGCACAGATTGGGGTCACTGAGCCCTTGGGGTTCTTTGATCCGGCCGGCTTCTGCAAGGACGAGGCTTCTTTCAAGGACTTGCGAGCCAAGGAGCTCAAGCATGGCAGAATCTGGGTCCAGGATGGGCAAGCCTTTCGAGTTTTCGGGCTGGGGAATTTCGGGCTCTCATCTTCAGCATGTGCTGCAATATGCTGCAATGCACCCGTCGGCAGTCCAGGATTGGCGATGATGGGCGCGCTCGGCATGCTAACGCAGAGCTTGGTGCAGCTGCCCGGAATGGAGGGCGTGCCGAAGGACATTTCGGCCTTCAGCACAGGGGCCGGTCAAACCGGCTTCCTCATTACCATCGCCATCATTGCGGTGTTGGAGGCGGCTGTCTTCGTTCAGGACGACAGCAAAGAGCCAGGCACGGAGTCGGGGTTGTTAACACCCGCCGGTACGGACCTGCGTCGGATGGTAGCCTGGTTTGCCTAGTTGCAGAGAAAACATGATGGCAGCCAGGCAACTTTGGCAATCCCGTGCCTCTGGTTGGGGATGACTACTCCGCTGAGATGCGCAACCGCGAGATCAACAACGGCAGGATCGTGAAAGGGGTTTCGCTGTACGGGAGTCGAGGGTCTTCCTGTGATGTTATCGGGATTTCCCGTGACTTTCAATAGCAGGTCGCAGTGGTCTTTGGCGTTCTCCTTCCGGAGGTCCGGAGTAGCATAGCCCCGCCGTGCCCCGCAAAACTGCATGCCTGACAAGCAAGCAGGATCGCCATGTTTGCCGCCCTGGGCCAGATCGCAGCTGGCCTCTACACGGGCAAATCCGCCATTGAGCAATTCGGGCTTTGAAGTAGGCAGCACCCGGCTGAATGCGCTTTCGGACCTGAGGCGCATCGGGAGCCCTTGAATTGTTTGAGCTAGCCAATAGTGCCAATAGATGTATACATCATTTTCGTGTTCCTGAGCTTCATGCCTCAAGCGCCTGTCGCTCAGCAGCCAGGTTTGACTTGGCTTGCCAGTTGGCATCATTTTCATTTTCGCTGTTACAGGTACGGCACGACCGCGACAGCATCCAGCATGCCAGCATGCTACTTCCGAGACCAGAGCTACGCTGCACAAAGAGCGGCCAAAAAACGGGGCGAGTAGAAGTAGCGTGCACAAGAATCTGCATTCCGTCGCTCTGCAGCCCCGAAGCGAAAGATCTACTCCCCTCGACTTGCAACTGCAGAGCCTCGGCCACCCTCTCCCTAAAGGCCAAAGATGCACAGGGTGCCGAGCGCGGCCTCCGATCTTTCGGGGCTCCGAAGGCGATGGAGTGATCTGGAAGTGCATGGGTTTGGGTCGTTAGGGGCCTTTGGGCTGTAAGGGGATTCTGGGATGCCTGCGAGGATGGCATGGAGTTGAACAACGCGGCCGCCACCCGAGCTGGAGAAGAAGAGAGAGATACTGAGACAGAGCGAGGCAGAGAGAGGCACAGACAGAGTGTGTTTCAGCCATCTTTCTGTTTTGCCCTGGCAAATTGGCCTCGGTTCTCTCTCTCTCTCTCTCTCTCTCTCTCTCTCTCTCTCTCTCTCTGTGAGACTCGTCGCTATAATGTGTGGGGGGGGCACCTGGAGCGCGGGGGCGGAGGTCGCTCTTGCGAAACAAAGAGAGTTTAGGGCAGTTTAGGGTTGCGTTGCAGCTCTAATCTGACAGGTTTTGCGGGAGTTGGCTGTGAGAGTCATCAAGGTCATCAGCCTGTACTTCATGAGTCATTGGCTTCTCCCAATTCCAAACCTTGAATGCTACCATGACTCCTGGGACTTCTTCCGGTGCTCCTCAGGACTATCCCATCATTTCCCAGCAGTTACCCAAGCTCAGGTTCACTACACCACGATGATGAATGCCTATGCCGAACGCGGAGATGTTGAGGGCGCCAGCGTGCGACGCTGAGAGCTGCCATGGCATGGCCTTTTCGCGGGTTTGACTTGAAGATGTGGGCACCAGTCGTGTGCAGAAAATGGCGGCAAGGGGCTATTCTAGTGAATCTTGTGCCGAACTCAACCTTATGGCCTCATGGTAACCCTGAAAGGAATGGCACCTGAAGGAACCCGAAACCCACATAGTCAGCCTCAGAGGAGCCCTAAAGCTCTAAACCCTTCTCGCAAGCCTTGCAGGAAGCCCAATAACCGTTATAATATCTCCCAAGCCCCCTACCCTGAAGCCGTACAGGAACCCTAAAACCCTTGTAATGACCCCCAAACCCCAAAAGTAAGCCTTAAAGGACCCCAGAACCCGTGTTAACGCCGAAGCTTTACCAGCCCCGTGCCCAGAGCTGGTTCCGGCGGGCACGCGAGCCGGCGGCCTAAAACCAGGTTGAGTACAGGGAGCTGATAATTTTTAAAAGGCCGCTGAGCCTTGAGCCCTGAAGCTCTTGATTCGTATTGTTTATGGCTAGTGTTGCGACTATGATCATTAGTAGTAGCTATTTCCATTGTTACTGATATTATCATTATTATTGCTACCGAGAAACTCACAGCATAAGGAAAAATACCATGGCCCATGCCCTTACTGTTATTACTGTTATTATTGCTATCATTATTATTATTAGTATTACTTGTTATGATTATCGCAAATCCTGGAGCCTGAGTCCCGAAGGCAGCTCGGCTGCTCTTCACTCAAAGCTTCAGTCACAGTCGAGCCGTGTGGAACTGGGTCTTCAACTCAACACTCAGTCTACGATTTAGTTTATGGGGTTTATAGGGTTTAGGATCTAGTGGCAAAGTTTTTGCGGCTCATATATGTACTCGCCATGCAAGGGGTTTAGAAAGCAGTGATTCGTTGGACAGGTGATTCGCTCTGGAAGCCCAACGCGGAAGAGATCTTGTGAACGCATGCTTTCACTTGGACCCTGCTGTCTTCGTGCCTCAGGCAGCCCCAGGTGCGATTGAATATCTGGGCCTACAATGCCTGCAGCTTAGACGCGAGTGTGGGTGTTGAACCCGACCGACCGACAAGAAGCTACACATGTGTGTGCGATGAAGGCCATGATCAAGGCCTGCGGCAACGCACAAGCCAGGGCCCCACGTCGCTGACACTGCCCTTTGCACATATATATATATATATGCATGTATATATACATATATACAACAAACTATAATACAACATCGTATAATTTACTGGAGACATAATCTCCTGTAGCACGATGTCCTAGAATGTACCGTAAGATAGGATCCTATACTAATATCCTACAGTGCGCGTTGTGGCCCTCAGCCTACTCGTCGCGTCTTCCCCGCTGCGCCAAGGACCTCGAGCGAGCACAGGCCGGTCCAAGGGCATTCTGTTTCCTCGGTCTAGTTCTTCGTGTTTCAAAATGTATATACAGTAGCTGTTTTATAAAGTTATCCATAATGTTCATGTTCGTGCTGTATGTATATATGTATGTATGTATGTATGTATGTATGGAAAAATGTATGTATGTATGTATGTATGTATGTATGTATGTATCCGTATGGATGTATCCGTATGGCTGTACGGATGCACGGATGGATGGCTGGCTGGCTGGATGGATGGATGGATGAATGGATGTCTGTGTGTATGGCTGTGTGTATGAATGTATGTATGGATGGAGGCCTGGATAGATGGAAAAATCTGCGATCCATAGCTGTGTTCATTGTACTTGTGCACTCCTATATCTTGTATGCAATGCCACACGGTGCGAGCGGCGTCTTCCAAATACAAAGCCTCGCGCCAGCAGTGGTTCAACATTGCACAGCAAGATGGCGTCAAGCCAGGGAACTCAGTCGCCACAGCCTCCCTGGTTCTGAGTAGGGAATGGGGGAATGGATCCCTATGATAGTCCCTTAAGGTCCCCTATAGTAGTCCCAATAACCCATTCCCCCATTCCCTACTAAGAACCAGACAGCAAGCAGCTCGGTGTGTTGTCTTTGAGCCAGGATGTTCAAACCCCAGCCTTCGGCTTGCCGAGGCCAGACGTGGTCAGCTACACGCTGTTCCTCGGCGAAAGTTGCTGCATGGCACCATGATCCCGAAACTAGGGTAGTATAATATAATATACTACAATATAATATCATATAATATAATATATTATATTATATTATATTATATTATATTATATTATATTATATTCTATTCTATTCTATTATATTATATTATATTATATTATATTATATTATATTCTAGTATGGGAGTGGGCGCACGTACTTCAGGATGATCACGGCCTGTGGGAAAGTCGGCCGCGTTGGGGAGGCGAGAAGATGGCACGGACCCTGGCCAGGGAGGTGACGAAGTATTCCGCGAAGTCTGTCTGGTTCTTGGTAGGGAATGGGGGAATGGGTTATTGGGAGTACTATAGGGGACCTTAAGGGACTATCATAGGGATTCATTCCCCCATTCCCTACTAAGAA